CTGCCACGCCTCCTTCTGCCTGTTACATACATTTCAACAAAACCATTATACCCTGATTTCCCATTGAAAATGGGTTCAGGGTATAAAAATATAATCTTTAATAAATTTTATGGTGCTATTTAAACAAAAAGAATACGAATTATTAAAGAACATCGATTACGTAACAGGAGCTATATCTATATAATCATGTAGATCGTTATTAACTGAGAAGTGTTTGCATATTTAATCCAAATACAATCGTCCAGCAAAGCTTAGTACTCTGCTAGTAGCTTGAGAGCTTTGACACGATCAAGTTTCCATTGAATGCAACACTAACAGGTTTTCAAGAGCTTGAACGCACAAATCGAGCATTAGTAGTATTAGCATTATTCATTTTTGAAGCACAAATGCGTCATGGCTCCTCAGTTTTTATTGAATTTCCTTCTGTTACTATTGATGGGCCAACAAAATATGGGATATAAAATGCCACACGTGAACATAGAAATATTCAATGAACGGGGCCTCAAAATCTCAATACCTGGTAAGTCGATGTGCCAGATACCAGTACCAATATTAATGATAAATAATCCAAAGATGAGGTACGCATGCAGCGTGTCTTTGTAATACTGCAAGTGGATGGCAGCTGTCCGGTGTTTATGGACTGCTTAACTCAAGCCACTAATGGCAGTTGGACCAGTGTACAACGCATTAGGCTGCAAAACGATGATAAGCTACGAGTCTCGCTGTTGGTGCAGTACAATAATAATATTTACGAAAAAAGCGAGACACATGTGATACTCAACACACGCTTTCTGACTACACAACAAAGCAATACCGTCAATATCTGGCGATCCAAAGCTCCAGAGACCCTCGACAACAACAACGAGAACAAATGCCAGCTATACCTACCATCAGACCAAAAACTGTTCAAACATTGCAAGCCAACCAACAGCATTACGAGTAGAAATAGTGGTAGTCAAGTTACATGTCAGGGCGATCTTATTTTTGAAGATGACTTTAGTGAAGGACAGCTGAATAGCAGCGTTTGGATGCATGACATCCGTCAGCGTATGTATTATGTGGAAGAAGAGCTGGTAGCATTCGATAATTCGCCGCGAATTTCCTACGTGCGTGAAGGACACCTACACATTGTGCCGATGGTGGCCAGCGAGGTGACAGAGGGAATTTACAAGCTAGGTGATCGCTGTACGGCTGTTGATAACCGTCAGTTGGAGTGCAGTATTTCTAAAGGTAGTTTCTTTAAGATCAAACCACCTGTATATTCAGCTCAATTGCACACACGGGAGAGCTTCAGCTTTAAATATGGAAAAGTTGTGGTGCGTGCTAAGCTTCCAAAGGGTGATTGGCTTTTTCCATGTAAATAGTTTGCATTATGCTCAACACCTCGATATATATTATAAACAATTTATGAATTACAGATATGATGTTACAGCCAGTCTCAACTTATGCAGAAACTCATTTTGCCAACCAGCTTCGTAAGTAAAAAATCGTTGTTTTATTAATTATACATTATTAGCTTTGTTGTATGCATATTTTGCTGAAAATAAGTTTGAATTTAATTTGAACAAGAGCGCTCTAGCCGAGACTGCACGACTACGAAATCCCCTGAACCTTTTTAAGAATTAATATTTCAATAATTATTCGCGCCTTTCTACTTAAATAAGAAACACACACATAGGCATGCACGCAAAAACACGCATGGACTGCAGTGTGGGCTTACTATGGGAAATGAATTGTTTAATAACTTTTCTTGTCGATGGACTATCTCCATAAAACTTTTAGATCATGATCATAACATGAAAATTGTTTGATACCAGTTATCAAACGCCAGCGATCCAAAGATTTTAGCTGTTCATCTTCTATATTGTGTTCAGGCAATGCTCGCAAGGAGTCTCAAACTAGGAAGTGACCATGTGTCAAGCAAGTCTCTTCGATCTGATGATAGTGGGGTGAGCGGACGTGAGTTGAGGATGGCTTCTACTTCCGCAGTGATTGTGGCCAATTCCTCAAACGTGCAGCGGACATTCATAAGGCTGCGTGTCATGAGTCCCTTGGCGCTTTTAACTGCAGCCTCCCAGAGGCCGCCAAAGTGTGGTGCTCTGGGTGGGATGAAACGAAAGTTTATGAATTCATTTGTGCAAAAACTAATAATTGATTATTAATTTTCTTGCTTGAAGTAGGTTCGTAGTTTCTTTAATTGATTGCTTGCTCCAGTGAAATTGGTGGCGTTGTCGCAAAATATATCCATAGGCCATCCTCGTCGTGAAATCATGCGCCTCAACGCGGGCAGGAAAGCATCCGTTGAGAGGTCAGATACCATACTCGATATGCACAGCAATGTACGCCTTGCGAGGAGCCTTGCTCTGAATGCGGAGGTAGACGTTGACTGGTCCGCAAAAGTCAACTCCACAGTCAGCGAAAGGAGTCAATCGCTCTACAGGCAGATTTCCCATTAGTTGCTGTTGCAACTTTGGCTTGTAGCGCACACAATGCACGCATTTTCTGACGATAGAGCGAGTCAGGTCTCGAGCATTTACGATCCAGAATTGAAGACGAATTAGCGCAACAAGTGCCTTTGAGCCAGCATGGTAGTGTTGCACATGAAGAAACTGCACGTAATGACGAACGAAGTCATCTTTACTGGGAAGTAGGATTGGATATTTCTGATCGCCTGGTGTATTTGCCAATTCGAGACGGCCGCCAACCTTCAATAGT